TGACCAAACTCCAGGAGGCACTGGAAGACAGGAGGGCCTGGCGTGTTCTAGTCCATGGGGTCAGAAAGAGTTGGACACAACTAAACAACAACAAATAATTTAATTTAATTTGTTAAATAAAATACACTTCTCTCTTTGAACAAACACACTCCCAAACACACACACAAAGAAGCTGGTGGATATTGTTCTCTGCAAATAAGTCGCTTTGGACATATGGTGCCCCAACAAGGTTTCGAAGGTGTGTGAGCTGTTCCGTTGGCCCCCACTCAACGGAACACCCTATGGAAAGGTGACTTTCCATGGCTGAGTGGGGATTTCAACTCAGGTCTTCTGAATCATAATCCAAGATTCTCTCCACTACCCCAGACTGGGTCTCTGTCACAGACTAGGTACATACAATCTCAAGATTCAGAGGCTTATTCCATTTACAGAAGAAACAGGATGCTGGATTAGATCAGACTTCGGTCTGCTCCAGCGCAGCTGCACTTTGAATTAGCCCAGACTGCTTCTGAATTGCAACCCCACTGAAAGAACTCATGAGGGGTTGATTGCATGGAATAGGTCCATGCACGGGCGTCTTCTTCACAAATACGCCAAAAATGCAGAAGTGGGACACGTAATTGGTGGCACTAGCTTGTGTGGTCTTGTGACTGGAAAAAAACCTACTTTTCCAAACTCTGATCCTAAGCTTTGATTGGGATGGAGTGCGGGAAGCAAAAACTGATACATGCCTCCTTTTCAGAAGCAGGTTGGCATTTAGCTGGGCGCCCGGCTACCAACCATTCAAAGCAAGAAATGCCAAAAGCCCGAGTTGTTGGGCTATGAGGAATTCTGGACTGCAGATAAATCCGTTTTGTGCCAGAAAACCTGCACTTAGACAAGCATGCCACCATCTTGGCAAAGAAGGGGCAAAGTACAGCCCACTAGAGGTTGACCGACTGCAAGTCCCATCAGCCTCAGCCAGTGGGGAGGAATGTTGGGAGCACCTACCCAACCACCTCTGGATAGCTGCTCATGGCCCATTCTTGCTCCACAGGGTGGGAGTCTCATGTCCAGGCGTGCCGGCTGGGTGGCATCAGGGGGTGTGGCCAAGAAAATGGGCTCCTGATCACCCCTCAGACCCCTTTTCCTCCAGGCAGGGAAATGGGAGAAAGAATAACATATCCTCAACTTGCACTTGCAGGAAGAAGGTCACCCCGGCTGCAGAAGACAGCGGCTGCTGCCCCAAAATGGGGAGTCAGAGGACAATCACAATTGGCTTCACGGGTCTCTCCTTGTCCCCATTCTGCCCAACAAACAAAATAAAAACACACACACACACACAACACAAACAATATGAGCTAGTTGTTTTCAACCTTCAGCCCTTCAGTTGTTTGGGACTCCAGCGGCTAGACTCTCTTTTCTCTTGATCAGGATGGCGAGCGCTTCTGGGAGTTCCAGCTGACAACAGCTGAAGGACCGACGGTTGAGAACCCCCCCGGTATAAAAGCCCTTCCCCGTCACCCAAATTCATCAAACAGTGAGGAAGCGTTTCTTAAGCAGATGGCAATGTTTCTCTCCGGCCACACTGGAAGGGGTTGAAAATTCCACGCACGTGTTCCTGCCTGTACAGAAAGCAACTCAATGGACAGAACCCAAGCACTAATCATGACAGGGTCCAGGATTAGAACCCAGGACCCACAGCCTTGACCACAGAGACTGGCCTTCCCAGTGATTGTCCCCAGCAGACAAGTCTTCACAAAGAGGCTAAACAGTAATCCATGACTTACTAAATAAATCTACTGGCCAGGTTTCCTTCCAGTAGCTGAATAGGAAGTGGATTTCCCCAGCCATCGTTGTAATGCAACCTATTCTGAAGGAGCAGTTAAGAGCCAGTAAGTTTACAAAAGACCTATGCTTGGCAAAAAGCTGCCTGCCTGTTGGGGCTCTCTTTAGGGGGCAAAGAGAAAGAGGACGGTCATGAGTTCAAAACGTGCCATCACAGCACAACGGCTGCTCAAACCACAGCTCATACTTTGCATGCACAAAGTTCCAGATTCGATTTCTGCCCTTTCATTTTTCAAAGGACTGAGGAGCCTCTAAAGCAAGGCAAAAAGCTCTCCTTCGCCTCCCGAAAACCCTTGGGCAGCCACCGCTGGGCCAGCAGAGGATCCTAGAGGGATAGGCAGGGAAGATCGCCTGGCGTGGTTTAGTCCACTTCTTGTGTCCGTCACGCATCTTGCACCCGCTCACTTCCTGCTGAAACGGCAACACTTGGGGGGGACGTCAGTGGCTCTCTCAACAGATAACTCACCTAATGAGTTTCAGACTAGAACTCCCATAATCCCCAGCTAAAAGGAACCCAAAGTCAAGGATCAGAGGTAGGGAAGCCCAGAACATCTGGAAGGTACCAGATCTGCAAGGAGTAAGTGAGATCTTTGGGTTTCCCCTCCCTTTTTTGTCAGAATACATTACATACTTACACCTCACCTATTCTAAGTCCCGAAGTATTTTATTTTATTTTATTGTAAGCCTCCTTATGTCCTTTTGAGGAAACAGCCAGAGTATAAATCTTTTAAATACACAATAAATAAATATTTTGTAAAGGCTCCTACCCTTCTGCGTTGTTTGCATGACAACATCAGCCCATGCCCAAGAAGCAGGCTTGGCCTGCCCTTCGCCCTTCCGCAACCCGACACCTTCCAAGATCTCTGGAATACAGGTTCCATCCACAGCTCTGGGCTGTGCTGAGTGATGGGTGTTGTAGTGCAAACCTTCCAAGCATCCCAGATGGCAGAAGGCTGCATACACAGAGGCTAA